CTCCAAGGACTGTGCTCAAAGCTCGCCAGTCCAATGACCCTAAATCCATCACTCATGGGCACTCACGGGGCACTGGGAGGGTCAGGCTGGCATGGCCAGTGTGACCTGGGCAGGGAATTGCCCTTCTGAGGGTGGCAGTGCCCACCCTGGCTCTCTGTGCTCTCAGCCATGACTGTCTGAAAGTTGGGTGCATCTCTGTGTGCAGGTTGTTCCAGCAGTTTCTCCTGGTTTAGTTAAAAACAATCATTTTTCAGAGGGCTGGGATGAGTTTCCTTGAGCAAGGAGGTCTTTAGTTCTTTGTGTGGACGTTGGCTTCATCTTGCCTTTGTTTCCCCCTTGCCACCCCACCAAAACCTCCCCTCCTGCTATGGCACAGGGCATGAGTTGGCACCCACTCCTTGCCTCAGAGCTGGAGATGGGTAAATCCTGCTGGGAAGCCAACATGTAAGGCACAGAGAAACCCCTTCAGACAAGGCAGCTCATTCATGGAAGGTATTTTTAATTAGTCATGGAATGATTTGGGTTGGAAGGGACCTTCCAGATCATCCATTTCCAACACCCCTGCCATGGGCAGGGACACCTTCCACTGGACCAGGTTGCTCCAAGCCCTGTCCAGCCTGGGCTCCCAGCTCAGTTAAGCCATGGAACCATCAGCTGTGGGGATTGCTGGGCAGTGGTGGCTGCCAGGAGCTGCCCTGCTCAGGGATCTCTTCCTCCTCCCCTCTGCATCTGGGGGCAGTACCAGTGCAGCTGCTCGAATATGCTCAAAAATCCAGAAACACAAGTAAGCACTAAACTTTCCCAAGGTGGCTGAGTAATCATGTTTGCTTTAGCATTTTAGTCCCCCAATTACCCAAGCCAAGGATATTGCCTCTTTAAACAGAGTTCAAAAAGCCCAAGAATTTTTTATAAATAGCTCACATCCTCTTGATAACAACCCGGCTGCTATTTATTGCCCACTTCCCCTCAGACAGACAGGTCAGAGCACTGAAAATCGCACTTCCCATGGAATCCAGAGGAACTGGGCTTTTCAGGTTCCTACAATTGTTTGTCATTCTGGGTTTCCTTTGCAGTTTACAGTGCTCAGCCAGGCTCACCCTGCTCAGGAGGGATCGTTGGGATATACTGCTGCCATTTCCTTGCCAGCTCAGAGCAGGGCATCTCTGGGTGCAGGGTTTTAGGGTTTTGCTGCTCCACACGTGGCTGGAGGCTCCAGTGCCATACCTGGAGCAAAGGGATGTGGTGCAGAATGTCCCAGTTCGGTGCTCTGACAATATTGTGTTTCTGATTAGGAGAACCCGGTTATATAATGGCATCATAATCACAAACATACCTGGCTCTGAGCAGAACAGAGCTGGATGATTTATTCATAAGAGTTTCTTCATGCAGAAACTTCTATTTATTCCCTGTTGTAAGGGCAGGAAAATGCCAATGGAAGCTGCAGTGGTATGGTGCTAACGGGAAGTACGCGGTTCAGTCTTCCCTCTCTTCAGGAATACTGAAGAGTCAATTTTTTAGGAGAAATCCCTGTGCCTTTGTGCTTGGGAGCAGAAGCCTTGCATGGGTTTGCAGAACCCAAATGGTCTGGGAAGGAGCAGGAGGTGCTGAGGGGCTGCTTGCCCTGCCCAGTCCCTCTGTGCTGGTGGCAGAGGGATCAGGAACCTTCAACCCGAAATCCTGACTGGTTTTTGCTTTGTGATTTTGTTTCTATTTATTTATTTATTTATTTTTATAAACACTTTTTGAGTATCTTCTCCAGTTGCACCTTTGGCTGATGTTTCTCAGCTTGCTGGCTGTTTTTTGACATTTATTTTCTTTCTGCAGCAGCAGAAGCCTCGTTGTGTCCTAGTTGGTCACCCAGGGCTGGCTGTCCAGGGCTGTGATGGGCTCTGGTGGTCTGGGCATGGTCAGAAACTTCTGTGAAGCCTCTTTACCTCTCTTGTGCCTCAAAGCCTGGTGTCCAGCTTGGACCCTGGGGTGTGTTTGGGGTGGCTCTGTCCCAAAGCCTGTGGAGGCTGAGACCCTGCTGAAAGGCTTTGCCTTGACCTCTGTTGCCAATTCCTCCTTGCCATGGATAGGGAAGTTTGCCCAGTGTGGGAACCCCCACTGAGGACATCCCTGAAGTTTTATGGTGCTCAGCAAGAGCTGGAGTGGGAGCCCAGGGATTCAGTGCTCCCACGGGAGGTTATTATGGGGAGGAAGAAAAACAAAGTGCAAAGGAAATTTATCTCTGTCCTGGCCATTTGTCTGTCACTCACAACAGGGCCAAACTTCGTTCCTGGTGCTGTGTGCTGGTGTGGAGCCCTGTGAGGAGCCAGCTCTGTGTCTGGCCAGGAATGGGGCTCAGCCTCCATCACCCCATTCACACACCACAATTCCAGTGAGAGAAATTATTTATTTCTGGGAAATGGTGCTGTGGGAGGTGATGCCTCTGTGGGAGCAGTGCAGCCCCCTGTGCTGCAGCATCTCCTTGCTGTGCTCACCCAGAGTTAGAGCTGGAACTCTGCAATGACATGTGGCAGTGAAAGCCATGCGGTTCTGTCGTGACACCGAGCTGGCTGTTGGGCTTTCGCTGGGAGTGTGCAATCCCAGGAAATGTGCTCAGTTCTGGGAGTCCCACGCTGTGTGTGGCTGATCCATGTGAGGTTTGTGTCTTCACTGCTTGAGTTTCATTTCCGAGGCTCTGACCCTACAGGCGGTGAAACTACCAACGGTTGTACTGATGGTTCTTGGTGGTTGTACTGATGGTTGTACCGATGGCTGTGTTGGTGTGCTGGGTGTCACAAAGTTGGGTTCCTTATTTTCCACATTTCTTCCCTGTCCCAGGCTGTGGCACTGCGTTTGTGGCTTTGTGTGTTCTGTTTCTGGGTCCCATCTCGCTGCCTGGTCCCGTGAGCCGCAATCACAGCAAGGCTCAGCCACTGCCTTCCACAGATCACGTTGGGTTCTGCCCATGCTGGAATAAATCACCTGGGACTCCATTTTCTTCATGCAGAAAAGCCAATTCTTCACTCACATAACTCATTTTACACAGTTTTCACAGACCTCATGCAACACCAACTGCTAACAGCTCTCTTACTACCTCAGTTCTTGGTCAGAAGGGGATTTGTGTGTTCATACTCAGATCCAGGTGTTTACATTCTTCCTTTGTGGATTCTCTTGGGACAAGATCTATTGTTTATACAGGTACCCCTATTTTTCTCTCCAAGGAATAGGCTGTTGTGTTCACAAACTTTTCATACCCAAGATTGTTTCATATGGGAACTTGCAAGTTGTCTGCAATTAGAAGAAGTGACAGCCTAGCAGAGCAAGGCCTGATGTCATAAGGCCTTTTCTTTTATAACATATTTTACCTGCAACACTCAGACCTTTGGGAAAATCTCATTGTGTTTATTAAATATATATTTTAGGAAAACAGTTTTAAAAGGAATTAAAAATTAGGTTTTTATCTAATTTTGTAGAATCCCAGAATGGTTTGGGTCAAAAGGGATCAAGGGATGTAACCTGCTCAATCTGGTCACTCATTACTGTAAGTCCATAATTTCTATAAATCTCAGCCCATTCTCTCAGAAATAATACATTGATTTAGGGTATTTTTAGGGTGTTTTGATTCTCTAGAAATTCCCCTTCAGGTCTGATACCCAAGAGCTGGGCTTGCTCGAGGGCCTGGGAAGTCTGTTGTATTCTTAGCTCTGTGCATCTCTTCACCATCCATAGCCTATGCTTGTGCAATTGGAGTTGGTTCCCTTTGAGAGCCAATAACTGAAAATGATGTAAAAAAGGATTAAAAAAAAAAAAAAGCTGATAATTCTGATAGATTTAAAAAATACTGCTTTAACATCTACCGCTCAAATCAAGCAGAGTGCTCTGGTTCGCTTCCAGCAGAGAGACATGAGTGTCGTGTTGGTATTTTTAAAGCTTTATGTGCAAGACATCAGTTGGTGTTGCCAAACTCTGATTTAAATTTATACATCCTGGCTCAGCCTGTTTGTTAAAAAAAAAAAAAAAGAAAAACCTCCCCCAGCATAACAAATTCAGTATCTTTTCCTTATTGCAAATTTTCTGGCACCCGATGTCATGATCTGCACAGTGTAGTTATTGTGTCTTTATCTGATCCATTGACTAATTCAACATTATTGTTTCAATAATATTATTTCAGGCCAGGTAACACACTCAGGTTACCTCTGTGATGACACAAAACATGGCACAGCCTCCAGTGAGTCACAGCTCCACAGTGTGTGCAAATAAATAACAGGAATGGTGAAAAATAACCCGGATCCTGTATTTTTAGCAGTCCAGGGTGATTCTGGTGACACATGAGAAGCTGGGGGCAGGAAGGTGCTGGGTGCTGGTGGGTGGGAGCCCCAGGATGTGGCTCAGGGGCTGTGCAGGGACACAGGAATTGGTCCTTGGCAGCTCCTTGTCCTTTTCTGAGGAGATGGCAGAGTTCTGGCTGCCCCCGTGTCTTGGGCGGGAGGAGGCTCTGTGCCCACCCGTGCCCTGGTGGGGCTGTTCTGGTGTGGAAAGGAGAAGCAGGAGGGCTGCAAGTGGGTCAGGAGCGCTGAGGGAGGCTCAGTGGGATGGGCTGGCACAGCCCCCGTGTGCGGTGGGGCTGCTGATTTTGTGCTTGGCTCTCTTTAGCGTCGATCCCCTGTCACACTGAGGGCTCAGCCCCGTGGAAGGAGCAGCCTGACTCGCAGGCTGGTGAATTTTAGGGGTGCAGGGAAGGAGGGGATTGCTCCTAAAGTTCACTCCTCACTGAGGTGCTGGCTCTTCCCCCTGCAGGGGATTTGAGGGTAATGAATTGATGAGCCCCTATGTGCCAGGCAGTGGGGCAGAGCAACCCCAGCATCGCCCTGAGTTCCTTGGCAGGGCTGGAGAGCATCAAATAACCAATTCTGGGCTACTCTCTGCTTGTATTTTTAGAATAATTGCTATAAACATTCTTGGGATTTTTTTTAAAAAAAGAACCACAACAGCCATTTATATATTTAACAATATATATTTATATATATATATAATTTCTAGATCAGTACATTCATCAGTACTTGCTTTCTTCACAAACAGAAGAACTCTTACAATAGTAGACTTTCTAAAATAAATACTATTAAAATAGAGCTTCAAAATAAATATTCTATACAAAGAAAAACCTTCTGTGGTAACTTTTCAGGGTGTACATGTGAGGGGGCGGTAAGAGGAGATGGGGGAAATATTTCTCAGGGTGTCTGAGCGTGGGAGGGGAAGGGAATTCCCAGTGCTGGGAAGGGTGAGGGCCCATCAGGGTGGCAAAGCCAGTGCCCAGGGAGCACCAATCTGGGATCTGCCCCTGGCACCTGGTGAGCACAGGGCTGTGGTGACAGGGTGTGACAGGGTCACTGGCAATGTGGCGTGGCATTGCCAGCACCCTCAGGTCCCCCCTTGTGGCTGTCTGGGCTGTTGTGTGAGGGCAGGGGCAAAGCCTGCCGTGAACCTGCTGCAGCAATTAGCAGAGCTGCAGCAATTAGCAGTGCAGGTGCCCTGCCATCCTCCTGCTCCCCCAGAGCATGGCATGGGTGCCAGGGGCAGCTGCCCTGGCCTGCCCTCCTGCCTCTGTGAGCGTCCCACCTCAGTGCCATGCTGCAGAGGTCTGTGCTCATTAGCAGCTGTCCCTTCATTAGCAGCTGTCCCTTCATTAATTAGCAGGGGCTCTGCCCTGGGAGGATGGCAGAGCTGTGGGGCTGTGACATGGTGACATTGGGGTGCCCATGGTACATCTCTGGGGTGGCAGCAGACCCACGTACCTTCACAGGGAGTGAGGGATGGAGTGTTGGGATGGGGAGGAGAGGGAATGTGGATTTTACTGACAGGAGCTGCTCCCTCTGGCACAGCCCTGGCTCCAGACAGGGCTCAGCACCCTCCTGCCCTGCCTTGGGCTAGGGGAGGAGGGAGGCTCACTCTGCTACACTGACCACTGCTCTAACACATCCACGAGGCTGGGCAGGCCCCAGCACGGCTCACAGGGCTGAGATATTGGAACAAATCGACAGAGAAATAGTTTACAGCTATGTACAGTGAGAGGGAGCCCAGCTGGGAGGGCTGGGCTGTGTACATGAGTGTAGACTGGCACAGTGGCCACCATTCCAGCACTGCCTTTGCTCACAAGGACCATGCAGCCAAGCCATGGGCTCTGCCAGTGCAGGTTTTCAGCACAATTCCCCAGGAACAGAGGGTCAGAAAGGCAAGGCAGCCGTGGGTGGGGGCCATTTGGACATGTGTGGTCCCAACAGAGGAGGGCAGCAGGTAAATACCTCTCCTGCTGGCCTTTTCTGGCTTGTTTGTATCTTAGGAAAATGATTTCTTTTACTAAATACAATATCTTATACATTCAACCAGCAGTTCAGCTAGTTTGGGGTTGGTTTTCCTTTTTTCTTTCCCCCTCCAACTTGTGCAAGATAATAAATACAGCTCTGGATCCCCACCTGTGCCCACATACAGTCAGCATGAGGGCTGCCCTATAGGAACTGGTATCTGGTAATGGATATTTCATCCTTTTTTCTCTGATTCAGCATGTACAAGCTAACAATGTTATAAATAGAAAAGTAGGTTGGTTTTCTTTTTTTTAATCTCCCCCATTCAATAAATATCTACAATTCCATTGAGCTAAACCCCAAGCCATCCAGCTGAGCTGAATTCTGAAACCCAAAGACACTAGAGTACTCCTGCCAGCCCCTACCCTGGCCAAGGGCATTCCTGGAAATGCTACATGAGCTCTGCCTATTGCTTGTCTAATTACAGATGACATTTCACTGTCACTGCTGTGCATTTACTGAGGAAATCTCCCCTAATTAAAAACACCAAGAAAGACTAGGTCAGTGTTCTGCATGCATCAAGTACCTACCTACTCATTAGAGTGTTGCATGTCTGGACCAGGATTCTTGTTTAGCACCTTGTGGTTGTCAGGAGAGAGGGATCACAGCATCCTTGGGGCAGGCAGAACAGCCCCAGGATGAGGGCAGGGACAGAGCCAATAATTCTGTGCTGAAACCCATGGGCCCACTCGTTAACTGCGCTCTCTTCCTTCCCCTGGCTTCTCCTGGTGTGTGTTAACACTAAAATAAACACTAAAAGCATTCTTTACATTGAAAAAGACACTTTTGTACAGAAGAGGCAAAAGTCAAACAGCAGCAATAGGGGTGGGGGAATGTGCTGTACTTCAAGCAAATGCCATTCACCCCAGGACAAAAACAAATCCCAGTATCTAATGAGCAAAGAAGGGCTTGTTCCAGGAGGGGAGGTACTGGATTGAGATCCCTAGAAAAATACATCTATGTGCATCGTACACTTAGGTTTGTGGGACTTCTTACCAGAGCTGAAGAGGTTTAGAGGGGCAAACTCTGCTCGTCTTTGCTTTGTGAAGGGAGTTGCATCCCCTTTGCTCTGGGAGCCAGGTGGGCCTGGGGGAAACGGGATCAGCCCCTTCCTCCTGCACAGGGGCTGCTCTGCTGAGGGAAAACTCATATTCCATCGAGTGAAACCTGATGCCACAGATCAGCTTACAGGCAGGAGGACCCGGTGTTGGTACAACTGCCTGAACACATCCCGCTGCAGCTCCTCCTGGGAGGAGCAGCCCTGCTACCATCCTGCTTTAGAAAGAGGGTCCAGACCAGCGGGGCCGGGTGGGATGCACCCAAAGGGCAGAAGACCTGTCAACAAATGAAAGGTAGCTTCCCTTCTGGTCCAAAAAGCTTTGAGGGACACAGAAAGCTTTTGAGAGACACGTACTTGGTGTGCAACCAGCCCTTGGAGTGGTGTCTAGGAGGGAAGGAGGGTGGAGAGAGTTCCCCCATCACCTTCAACAGGCTGCTGGGAGCGAGCTGGGGTTTGGAAGGAGACAGGAAGCAAGTAGCCTGCCCTGAATGTGAATTCAAAGCAGCTTTTTGCAGCTGGGAATGGGGATTGGCTGTGAGGCAGCGCCTGCCAAGCGAGCAGTTAATGGTTCCTGTGGTGTGCAGGCCTGGTGAGCAGCCGTCCCTCCGAGCTGGGAGTTTTTCAGCAGCTGTACTTCATGATGTACATGGGTTTGCAGCCTTCACTCTGCATTATTAACATTCCTCCTTTGGCCCCATCTCTTTAAGCTGCGACCAGTTCCAAAAACCCTGAATAACCCAAAGTGCTTCAGTTTGTGGAAATAGTTGCTTCCGCTTTCCCCAAAGGCAAGAGGCCGACGCTCTCCTCAGAACACAGGTTATTAAAAAGAGCCAACCCCACCCTGCTCCGCAGAGCATCCTCCCAACTCCACCATTAAAAGGGCTTTTCTGCCCCTTTGCTCTCGGGCAATGCCTTGCAAATGACACTGTTTGTGTTTTTGCACCTGCACCCGGGCCGGCTCACTCGGTCGTAGCATCTCTGGGACAGCTTGACGCAGCCGGTGGCGGGCAGGTAGCAGAGCAGGCAGGGCAGCACCAGGGACAGGGCGCTCATGAAGGACCAGCGGGCGCAGCAGTTGGACTGGGAGCAGGAGCAGGGCTGGTCGGCACACGTGCCCTCGTCGTCCTCGTTGGTGCAGTGGTAGAAGACGCCCTTGACCAGGCACATGCAGGTGGAGTAGTTGACCAGGTTCTGCGCCGAGCACAGGCACTCCTGGTTGCACACCCAGCACGAGGGCAGAGTCCGGGGCAGGGCACACTCCTTGCACTTGCACTTCCCACAGGCCTCGCACAGCAGGAAGTGCTTGTCCAGCTCCTGGGACACGGGGCCCTTCAGGTCCAGGGGCTTGCAGTTGATGGCCTTGGGCTGGATGCGGACGGCGCGGGGGGACGACTGCTCCGCCACGGGCACCGGGGCCATGTGGTCCAGCAGCCTTTGGTCCGAGGACGTGCTGCTGCTGCTGCTGATGGAGCTGGGGCGCCCGCTGAAGGAGATCCAGGGGTGGGTGACGTCCTGCTCGCAGCGCTGCGGGGGCTGGCCGGCCGAGCCCGGCTCGTGGGGGGCTCGGGGCCGCTTCTGGGCGGGCGGCTGGGCAGCGCCGGGGTTGTCGGTGTAGTCGTTCTCCAGGTGGGTGCTCTTCATCTGGTCGATGGGCAGGATGGTCAGAGGGTGCTGCAGCCGCCCGTAGGGGATCCGGCTGTCCAGCAAGGGCTGCACCATCACAGAGTTGGGGACAACGGTGATGTTGTGAGGGATCCGGGGCTCCATTGAGAAATCAGTCTGACTGCTGGGGGAATTCTGTGCTTAGGTGTCCTGGGAGAAGGGAAGGAGAAAGAAAAGGGATGGGGGAGAGAGAGAGCGCATTGTTATTGTGGTATCCTGCAATCCCAGCCCAAAAGGGCTCCTTGCTGAGGCTGGTTGTTGTGCTGAAGGTCTTGTAAGGTAAATTTGTGTCCAAGGGAGGCAGAGCACTCAGGTACAAAGTGTCTCACTCCTCCTTTGCTACCGTGTCCCTCTCCCTGACCTTGGCCATCTATAGCTCTTCCAGCCCTGGGAGGGCTGCAGGATCCTGAAGAGCCCCCTCATGCTTTTACTGAGGGAAGGAATATCTTAGGGCTACTGGTGTACATTCACATGTGGTTTTGTCAGCAAATTTCCTGAAATGATTTCTCTAAACTTTGGAGGTTTTCCCCAGTTGACCCTATTCCCTAAAAAACCTGACGCAGGATTGTGGCTTGTGGAAGCATTGGCCTGGTACAAAGGCGCTTTTGAGTGTGGGGCTGAGCACCTGTCCTTGCTAACCAAGGACCTGCCCGTGGGAGGATGGATTGATTCGGGTGAGGAAGAGCCCCCTCTCCATCAGGAGCTGCTGGTTCCAGAGGCTCCTTCATCCCTCCCAGGGGAGGTGGAAGCGCTGGCTCAGCGCCTTGTCCAGGGTAAATCCAGGGGGAAGCCAAGGGTGCAGCTCCCAGGGGAGCAGCCCCACGCTCAGGCTGGATCCCTCACCTCACACAGGTAATGAGACACTCGTGCAGCTCACTAAGTGCACTGACATCCAGCTGAAGTGCTGTTTACCAGCCGCTCTGGCTGAGCCCTCGGTGCCGCAGTTTCTAATTTCATTGAAAGAGTGCAATTTATCCTGGAGTCAATCCAAAGATTCAGCAGTGGCGTAGGACAAGAAACCACAGGAAGTAACTAAACTTAAATCAAAGAACGGAAACGACTCGGTTCAAATTTAGAAAGTGCACATTGTTTTCTAGTAGATGTGCCATTTCCTCACGGGGTGACCTTTATTCATAAATAATATAATGCTGGAGATCAGTTGAAAGAAGGGGTGAGTAAAGCTTTGGTCACAGGAGGGGAAAAGCTGCTGGTATCAAGAAAAAGGAAGCAGTGAACAGCTTAAGGCATTGCCAGTTGTTTGTGTTCAACAAATAAATTAACCTTCTCCAGCAGCGTGAAAGATTTGGACTTGGCAGGGCTGGTTTAACAGCTGGGCTCGATGATCCTAAAGGTCTTTTCCAACCTAAATGATTCCGTGATTCTATGACTTTTAATATCACAGCAGTGGGAAAAAGGAAAAAACTGCATCCAGATACAACCAAACAATGCACGAGAAGTGTGTGTGTGTCAATGTGTGTGCACTTGTGTGAGAGCACATCTCCCCTAAAACAAACACAATGCCACAAAATCTGAGCAAGAACTGATTCCACATTCTTGAAGAAGAAAGGGAAGCCCATTTTTACCCCCTGAGAAATGCCACCAGAGTCCACCCTTGTGTTGCTGTGATGGCTCACTTGGCATTGGGGCTGGAGCAGTGCCAGTGCCCCCGGGCTCAGCCAGAGCATGGGCAGGGTCTGGGCCCCTCTGTGCCCTGCACCACACCAGCAGGAAGAAATGCTCTATTAGCAGCAATGATCTTTATTGTCATGCAGCCCTGATGCTGCTGCTCTTCCCCAGTTAAAATTCTCTGCTGGGTCTTAGCCATTCATTTGGATTTTTTTTTTTTATTTCATTATTCATAGCTCATTGACATCCTGACTGGAGGAACAAGAGGGTTTATAAAGCATCTCTTCCTAGTTACTGTATGTAAAAAACAAAGAGAAGCAATGATTCTGACAACTGTGGTGCATGCAGAGGGAAAAGAACTTGATTTTCTTTTGTGCATCAGAATCCAGTGTCATGATATAAAAAGTATTTGCTGCAAGTCAGAGTTTAGCAAAATCATCAGTTCTGTGTCGGCTGTGTGTTACATTTGCAGGGAGACTTTGATTCCACTGGTTTTTTTGTTGTTGTTTTTTTTTTTTTTTAAGGAGAGAGATGCAGCTGTTTTGGTTGCCAAGAGTAAGTGCAGCAGAGCTGATCTTAGATGGAAGGTAGCTGGAGGAAATGGTGGCAGTGCTGCAGGGTGCTCCAGCCTGTCTGCTCCCCCTCACCCTGCCCTCGTGGCCTCTCCAGGGCTCTCTGCCCTCTCCCACTTGGTACCAGCTCTCGGGAATCTGCTCTGTTCCCCAGATTTCCCCCGGATCCATGGAGAACCGTTTGTTTGAGGGTGCCCTGTGTGGAGCAGGGCTCAGCCCAGGCAGTGAGCTGCCTGTGATTCTCTGATTGCCCTGCCCAGCCCTGGTGCTGCCCGTCCCCAGGGTGGCACAGTGAGGGTGTTTGCATTGCTGGTGGCACTGTGGAGTCCCTGCAGGTGCCACCCAGGCTCTGCATTAACTCTGCAGTGCCCAGCCTGCCGTGGGCCAGAGCCAGCGATGCCATCACACGGGAATGGTGTCACCAGATGAATCTGGGGAAGGATTGGAGCCAGGCCCCTCCTCAGACACCCCCGGGCACAGGGGTCTCAGGCAGGCAGATGTTAAAGATGGCTTATCTGAGATAATGCTAATCAAGATTTCAGTAATTACCACAGAAAGGAGAGGGACCCTGGACTAGACATCACACATCAGGAGAGTTAAGGAGAGAAGTTTTTCATCCTCTTTTTTCACTGTAGTACAGTTTCAAATTGTCTTATTAAACAGACAAACTATTTCTGCAGGACAAGGAGAAGGGAAGCCTGATATGGTGAACTCAACAACCCTGCAGATATCTGGGCATAGGATCTACTTGGATAAAACCTGTGGAGGGAAAACAGGCAAACAAGACCCATCTCTCCCCATTGCCAGACCCCTGCTCTGGCCACAGTGTCTCTCTGGCTCAATGAAAATCACCTTTAAACCACCACAGATGTGCACCCTGGCAGGTTTTGGTGCTTGCACGCGTGGTCCTTCACTTTCTGCCCTGCCCTCTCCCTCCTGAGCAGAGGTTCCTGCAGTTAGCTGCTCTTAGCAGACAAACGTTTCTGATATTTATGGAATTTTCCAAGGACCATGACTCCATTGCTGCTGCTGCTGGCCTTGTCACCAGCAGTTCCAGCAGTGCAGTGACGTTGCTGGTGACAGATCCAGGTCAGAGCCCTCGGGTGCTGCTCAGGGCCAGGAGGCTCCTCTGCCCTGGGCTCTGCTCCATGGTGGGGCTGCTCCAGGGTGTCTGTGTGCTCTGGGCACCTTATAAATTGAATTTATAAGGCTTATCCAGCCAGATCCCAAATCAAAATTCATGTTTGGGGTAACCTGACAGAGCTTTAGACCCTGACAGAGTAAAGAGCTGAGGGGTGCAACTTAGGGATCTTTGCTGTCCACTGCACTAATCCTGATTATAAACTGCATTTCCATTGAGGAAAAAAAGCCATACAGCACACAAAATTAATTAATTTTTGATCACAGGTAATTACAGATGTATTACAGCATTAACACAGGCACAAATTCACTGTACAGATAATTTTCTTAAAGTAGGCAACAGGAAGAAAAATTCTTGACTATCTTCTTATACAGGGAGTTTTTCATTCTTTAGAGGCAAACAATGAGGTTCTTTTCAAGGCACCAAACTCCCATGTAGAAAAAAATTTCTCTTCCCCCATGACTGTACAGTCACTCACCACATACAATTTTCAAGTCAAAATATACTTCCTTCCCAGGGAGTAAAATTGGACTCCAAAGTCAAGTTCATACACGTGTTGCAGTGTTTGTTCCATCTCTTCATCAAGATATGGCCAATTTAAAATTACTGTTGTACTGGGTAATTGCTAGTCCTAAAGTTGTAGGAAACCAACTGTTATTGTAAAGTGCTTTGGTATTATTTCAGACTCAAAAGTTTTGTAGGTTTTGAAATCAGATGAAATTAAAACAAAAGGCATTTTATGTTTAGTAGGATTTTGGATTTGCCTACATCATTTTGTACTTGTGGGCAATTCCATGAGAAAGCAAACCCTCAGGAAAACTCATTCTCATAAATGTCTTCTGAACAAGCTTTGAAAGAATAAGGTTCTGATATCTTTATTTTCAGAGTGGAGTTGGACAACAAATCTTCCTGTAACTGAAAAACAAAATGGATCTTGACTTAAAAATCCAGTGAGTGCAGAAATATCTAATGTTCATAACTAGCTGAGTCACCCACTGGTTAATAATTTTAATAAGCTCTTTCTCACATGTTTAACAATATTCTAGATGTTTGTGGTAATAAAAGAATAACGAGAGTAAGGGACTTAAATCCAGAGGAGGGTCCCATGTGGAAGCAATCCTGGGCAACCCAGAGCTGCCACATCCCCAGCAGGAAAATGGGAAAAGCTTCCCTGAGCTCCTCCTCTGCAGCCAGCACCAGGTACAAGGCCCCACAGTTTTGCCCAATCCTTTTTGGACACAAGAAATGTCTAAGGGGAATCTCAAATGTCCCAGCAAACCAAAAAGCCCCAGCTGTGCTGTTTGGGTGTGTTTGCTGACAGAGCCCAGGGTGGGCAGGGAAGTGACGCAGCCACCAAACCCCTTCTGTCCTCGTCAGCTTCGTGCTCCGGATCAGGGGCCCTTATCTCTAATTAATTACACCTTAATTACACCTCAGATCAGCCTGTCCCTTCTGCTGTGTCTGACAGCACTGGTGGCAGGAGGAGCCTCAGCAAAACAGGGTTTTTCCTGGGGTGGCTGGCACTGGATTGTCCCTTCCATGTCCTGTGACATCTCTGGTGGCTCCTTTCTGGAGCCTGGCCTGTGCCCTGGCACATCAGGGAGCTGTTGATCCTTGCCAGGAGCTGGTGGCACCCCAGGAACATCACATGTATTCTATATCTTCTAAATGAAAATGGTTATAGTGGTGCTGGGGGCATGGGGAGCACCGTGCACAAAAAGTCTCCTTCTTATATTAGAATTGTTATGGTTGGAAAAGACCTTTAGGATCATCAAGTCCAACTGTAAAGGGAATAAAGCCAATTTGATGCTTCAACATGAATTTTCAATCACAGGTTTCCAAGAATTTCCCAACTGCTGAAGCATCACAAGCTTCTGTGAAGAAGGGATGGAGAAATTGCCATGGACTGATGGAAGGCTGAGCCCTGCACTGGGACAGGGTAAGAGCTGAGATCCTTTGGGGATCTGCTTTGGGTCAGACCAGACCACTCTGAATCCTGGCACTGCAGAGGGATCACACCTGCTCTGGGGCACTGATGCTAGACCTGGGCTAGATTAAATTACAGAAAGCAATTGTTTCCTGGGAGGGTGGGCAGCCCTGGCACTGCCCAAGGCCAGGCTGGAGCACCTGGGATGGTGGGAGGTGTCCCTGCCATGGCAGGGGTGGCACTGGATGGGCTTTAGGGTCCTTTCCATCCCAAACCATTCAGTGACTCCATTATCAATGCAAAAATTGAATGGCAGAGCTGTGACAGTCACCCATTGACACAGAGGCAGCAATAGCTGCAGTAAATGCACTGCAGAAATTGGTTTATTTTCTTTGCTGTCTGAGACATATTCTGAAAATACAGTACAAGAGGAAGAAAACGAGCAAAGCATAGAATATTTAGTCTTAATACAGGAAATGATCATAATTGAGAGCAATACATTGGAAGCAGTGTCATGCCAGGGGTGGGCAGGAACATTTCCAGGCCTGTGCAAGGCAGCAGAGCTCAGAATCGATGGCAGCCAGTGCCAAATCTGACCTGTCACCACCAGGCTGTCTCCTCTGGTGGTGTGGTTAAAAAGCATTTTTTGGTTAAAAAGCTCCTCTGGAAGTGCTGGGCAGAGCTGCACCTGAGTATTGGGCAGGGCAGGGTGCTGGGGGACAGGACAGGGTCCCCCCAAGTGACCAATAAAGGATTTGCTCCCCAGGGCCCTGCAGAGGAGGAGCTGGAGGCAAGGGAGCAGATTCTGCCCTGCCTTTGTTTGGCATTAAGGACACGCTCCTGTCCAGGCCTGCCAGCGGTGACAGGGGACACTCTGCTCCTGGGCAAGCCAAAGGGCTCAATTAAAGCTTTTAATGAGGAAGACTACTCTCAGAGGTAGTTAAAGGAGACCTTGCAGCAAGCACATGTTTTTAATGTGGGATTAAGAATAATTCATAAGGTTGGAGTTCATTAAGGCTGGGTTCGGCTGGCTGGATTTTGATTCGAGCTGTAAATGCTTCAAAAAAAGGAAAAAAAAAGCTTTTTTCCCCTAAAGTGTGTATCAACATTAACAAAATATTGACATTTATTCTTTTTGTTCCCCTCCTTAGCAGACTTATCTAACTAAGGCCAGCTAGAATCTTCTCTACAGGCAGTAAGGCAGGAAAAAAATTAGAAAGCTTATTAGGGAAACCTGCCATTTTTAAAATGAGACACTAAATTCTTGCCAGAGTGTGGAAATTCAGGAGCTGGGAAATGAGACCTGTAGACTTCCAAGAAGCTGTCTCTGTCCAGCTAAAGTCTGTTCCTATGGTGCGAGTGAATAAAGCACATTTTGGCCCACTAGCATTCAGATCTCTGGGGACTTGGATTTCTCAGTCAAAGCCTTTTACTGGACAAAAAAATTTATTTTAAGGTCAGAAAACTAAGCTCAGATATGATCTATTAGCTAATGGTACTGAATGATAACCTTATTGGAAGGATTGTAGATTTTCTTGGGGAAATTGCATTGAAAAAGGATAAAAAAACAGCACTTGTGCAACTGTTTGCCTGTAAAAACACAGTTTTTACTACTGGGCTGAAGCTGGGAAGTTATATAGCAATGTGATGAATGAATTTTTTTCTTTCACATTTAATTTTATGAAAACTGTCAGAACTGGTAATTAATTATTGCTGTAGTGTTGTAAGGAATGTGAATTTTATTTCACCGAAGTCTGAGAACAGAATTTGGGTTTTGGGGGGGTAGGAATTGCTTTTTGAGATGTTGCATTCCCCAGTATGGTTTGGGAATTAGTCATGATTCCAGGAAAACAGCTTTTGTTTTGCTGTTTCAGGAGGAGAACAAATATTTTCTCCCCTGCACATACCTCATGGAGAATTTCAGAAGGACTGCAGTATTCAGAAATGGTCCTTTTAATTTTATCATCCCAATGTAGAGTCCCTTCCAGCAAGGGAAAACACAGCAGCCCATGGAAAAGGGCACATTTATCACCGAGACATCCCCGGTGGGGTTCCAATAACTGAGAACAACCCCTCCTCCTGCTATCATTCATTTTTATATGGACAAGGGGGAAGCCAGTCATCGGGATCATTGTGATTCCATGCACAAATTGGAGCTTTATTCTTTAACCCAAAATAAAGGCAGAGAGGGGAGGCTGTAATATTGGGAAGGCTGAGTTCCTCTTTACCTAATTAAACTGCAATTTCTTGCCATGCTGTCCCCTTGGCATGGCATGGAGGAAAGGCAGCAGCTGGAGAAGTTGTAAAGAATCTAGAACGTGCCTTTTCCACTATGGATAATGCAGGGATGCTTTTCCTTTTCTCTTTCATTCTTTCCTTCACCCTTTAAAGAAAAACTTGGGGCTACAAAAGCCTGAAATGAAGCAATCAGACCCTTGGTAACTGGAGGTGAAAGAGGGAAGCCTTTTCCCCGTGATATTCCTTTGCACTGCCATTTCCAAGGTCTGCATTCCCAGTCCTGCTTTCCTCTAAGACCTTTGTGCCTTTTATATGCCCCTTTCTGCTTTTTCCATTCCCCTCCTGATAATGAATTTTCAGAACATGTCGTCTCCAGGCTTGTCTTTCTCCTGTGACGCCAGGACTGGTACCAGAAAATAAAATCCTGGCTTATCTTTGCTACGCAGTTGGTAGAAAGGAGCAGCCAGCACAGGTTTTTCCTCCATACATAAAATATTTCATGGATTAGATGAAGTTATTCCACGTACACATTTTTATTACTCATCTAGCCTTTAAAATACAGCATCCATCCAGATTTAAAACAAGTGTACAGCAAGACAGGGAAGAACAGTGATGGAATAAGGCACTGAGGCCAAAAAAATGAAAAAAAGGCTTGTATGAAATAAAATGCTGAAGAGCAAAGGTCATGCAGGAAAGGTCTGACACATGAGTGGCTGATTTCTGAAGTGTCCTATTATGGAGACAGCTGAAAACTACTTGACACTCACAAGACAGGGCTTTGGAAAAGAGAGGAAATGCGGATAATCCATTCCACAGCAAGAAAGATCCAATTCTGACTTGTCAGCCCAGGTGACCGTGTATTTCTGCTCCTTTTCGGGGAAGGAAGGAGGGATGAAGGAGAAGACATCCCATCAGCAGAAAAAAGCCACTTATTCTGCTGTAAAAGCCTGCAAACAAACCCGACCCAAGTGTGCTGAAACCTGCCTGCCATATATGTACAGCAAATGCAGATGTTGATGGGAGAACGCAGAAAAGAGGTATAAATCAGAGACGCAGGGACACAAATGGAAATTCTGCAAGAAACAGGATATTTCTCCAGAATGCCAAGTCTCCTCTGGGCTGGGAAGCACCAGGCAGCTCTCCACTGTACATAATTATAGCTAATCACTGTTAGGAAAGTCATCGCCAGAAATATGCTCCTGATCAGCGATCTGTAAGGAGCAGCCCAACACATCTAGAACGAGCGCAGGATTTTCCCTCGGGGAGCAGGCTTGGCTTTTTTTTCTACTTAAAACATTTTAACAATTGCTCGCAAGCACCGATCTCGTACTTACTTTAAATAATTCAGCTAGGACCATGTCTCCATAGGCGAGTTAATCCCACGGGCGAGGCGGACGAGGGGGCCGGACCCGGGAGCAGGCTGGCAGCAGCGGCAGAGCTGCGGGCAGGGACCTGCGAGCGCGGCGCTGTCAGCGGCGGCCGCGGCGCTGCACCCGCCCGCCTGCCTGGGAAAATGGCTATTTTATGAATGGGAGGGCAGCGGCCGCCAGTGCGCATGCGCTGCCGCCCGACTCTATGAATGGGTGGGCACCGCGGAAGCAGCGCGCATGCTCCGCTGCCTTTTATGAATGGGGGCTGGAGGGGAGCGCGGATGCGGCTCCCGGGGTTTTTTTTTTTTTCCCTTTTTTTTTTTTGAATGAAGGGCAGCGGCAGCTGCGCATGCACCGCGCCCCCCGCCCGGGGCTGGAGGTAACGGCGGGGGTGGGGGGCACCCGAGGCCGGGGGGCACCGCCGAGCCCCCTCCCCTGCGGGCCCGGTCCCGGGGAGCAGCCGGGAGGGCTCCCCCGGCCCCTCGGGCATCCCCGGCCGCCGCCCCGGGGGCCGCACCCCGCCGGGAGTGGGCGAGGGGCGGCAGCGCGGGCAGCGTCTCTCGCCGGGAGCCGGGGGGGGACAGGGGCACGTTCGGCTGGAGGTTCTGGCGATCCCCGCTTTTGGGTGTGTGACCACGAGTGAAACGATGGGAACGGTTCTCCCATCGTTAGCGCTCGGCTTCGTTTCCCGGTGCTGAGAGTGCGGCTCATTCCGTTCACCGCAGCATCGTCACACACCCGTGTCCGTCCCTGTGCCTGGCGCCTGTGGCAGCACCTGGGTGAAAACGCGAGCACAACCCCCCCAGAGTGATGTATGTGCAACCTGTGGGTTTATTTCATGGCTTTTCTCTCCTGAGGAGCAGAGGAGGTGGGGTAGAGCCGCAGCCACCCAGCGCCAGCAGCTGCTCCGGTTTCATGGACGTGAGGCCATGGATGCGCTGCTCCCAGCTCCGCAGCCCTGCCCATGTTCAGCGTTTTGGGGGAGCCTCTCCCAGCGCTCCGCAGCCGGGTCCTCGGGTTTCCCACCCATCCTTAGCCCAGCGCTGCTGCTCCGTGCCGGGGACAGCCCTGCCCGAGCGTGTGCGGCGCCCTGCCCGTCCCTCCGTGCTCCGGTTCCTCTCGCCCCAGGCCGGGTCTCCGCTGCAGCTGCTGCGGAAGCGGCCGCAGGTGGGGCCTCGGGCCGGGCGCTCCCCCAGGAGCCTCGCAGACAGGTTGCTTTCCTGCAAATGCATTAATGATGTATTTTAATATCTGCGAGGAGTCATCTGCAGAGCACAGAGCAAGGCCCTGCTCATTTCCTGCCGTGTTTATGGCGTGTATATTTCAAAGCTTGCACAACACTGAAGAAAACCCCGTTGTTTATTTATTTAGTGCTAATACAAACAATATATGTTACCGCAGATATAAAACCAGGCAGATTTCTTTCTCCAGGAAGGATTTCTCCCTCCAAGAGCAGTGCTCTGAGCCTGATCATTTCCTTAGGTGTGTTTGTCTCCGAGGGCAGACACGTTTCTGAGTGGGAGCCGTACTGTGGGTCATGGGCAAATGCAATTTAACAAGGAAAGGACAGAAGATGGAGACTCCCTGAAGAACAGCTTTTCCAGAAGGTTGCATAAAATCTTACTGGCCTTCAAATCCATCAGCTGGGTGCTTTCGAAAATAAATAGGAGGTGGTTGGTAAAAGTGTTGCTTTGTTACTGGTTGTGTTCTTTGCAGTGAAGTACTGCTGGAAGGAGAGGCAGGCAGAGAAATTCGATGTCCGTGATTTTGGAAATTGGCAAATGAAGAGATAATGGAAGAAAATGTGATTTTAAAAAAGCTTGTATGGAAGTAAAGATGAAAAAAACATCATCGTGCTGTATTTCGTGCTGGAAAGCAGCCCAAAGCTGAGAGACTCAAATTCCTGAGCACAAAAATATCTGATCCCATCGTTTTACAACACTGGCACAGGATAAATTCCGCACCTTGATTTGAGTGCTGCCAGTGTTCTGTAACGTCGCAGCAGTGGGAGAGTCAAGCGCTCTGAATTCAAGGCTTTTATCTGTGAATGCCGAGCTCTGTGTTCCGGGGCCGCGGGCACAATGCCCGGGGGAAGTCCTTTGTTCCAGCGCGGAGCATCTCCCTGCGAGCCCCGGCCCCTGCAGAGCCGCTCTGCTGCCCGAGCCTGGAACCCCAGAGCAGCCCCGGGCACTGCCCTGCCCTCCGGGAACCCCCAGCAATAAAACAGAAAGGGGAAACCAAAATCATTATCCAGGTGTGAAGGAGTGAGGAGGAAATGGGCTCTGGCTGTGCGGCTCTCGGGAGAGAAAAGGGGAATATTGCTGGTAGGGCTGGGGATGGATGGAGCCTTTTCAGGCAGAGAATTAGGAGATTGTAAATCTTGGAGCTAATTCACCTCTTCCTTAAGACGTACTGAAAACATGATTTGACTAATTCTCCCCTATGGACAAAGGTGTTTCTTGCTAGATCTTAGCCTGGTTGCTCTGCTCAGGAATACACGGCTTTGGGTTTGGAATTATGTGTGGGTTTGGAATTGCGTGTGGATGCCTCCAAGCTGCTGTTCCTGTTGGTGCCAGTGGGCTCTGTTCTGGCTCTGGATCAGGATCCAGAGGCAAAAGCCCAGCGTGAGGGTGGTGGATGCTGTGCACTCTGCAGATTCCTGGCTCCTCTGGATCCCTCTGCAAACAGGGGGAGCTGGAGATGCCTCTGTGCTGTGCTGGGCTGAGCAGGGCAGGGATGGGGTGTCCCCAGCTCTGCTGATGCTCTGTCTGCTCCCCAGATCTCCTCATGTTGCCGTGAAGAGCAGGTTGTGCCTGTGGGGAGGAGATTCCTTGTCGGGAGGGCTCTGGGGCTGCTGCAGTGCCAGGGAGGAGCATTGTGTCATCCCTGTGGGATTCTGGAAGCTGAGGCTTTGAGGGAAATACCCCTTATCCCAGGACATGTAATGAGTTTATCCACGTTGGCAGTGCTGCTGATACTGAGCTCTGCGCTCCTTCCTCGTGCAGGAAATTAATTGCTCGCTCATTTCATGCCCATTTAAACCCTGAAATGGCTGCAGATTTTTGATCGTGATTTCTTCTCTGGGATGAGCTGTGCTGCTGCCGCACTTGCTTTGCCTCTGAAGCTCTTCAGTCTGGTTCTGGTACATCCTGGGAGCAGGCTGGCAGGGCTGGGTGTGAGTGCTGGCAGCCAGGGCTCCCCTTGGAGAAGCTCTGGTACTCCAGCCCTGCTCTGCTGTGTGGGCTGGCACGGCTCCAGGCAGGGCGTGTGTGTCTTGGCCCAAAGCTGGCGGTTTAAGGAAATGCATGGTTCCTAATCTGCCATCAGAAAAAAGCAAATATGCAGGCAATTTAGGAAAGTGAAAGTGCAACCCCCTGGGGAACGCGGAGCTCGGGCTTCAGAGGCGTTCTGAGCGAGGAGCCGTGCTCTGCCTTCAGTCCTGCCCCACTTGGCACTCTGCTGTCTTTGAGCTGGATCAAGAGCAGATGTGGGGACTTTATCTACTGAGGTTTTCGTGCTCCAAATCCTTTCTGGCTGGGTCGGGCCTTACCGTAACAGGGCTGAGGAAGGAGCTCCCTCCCTAACTCAGCTGATCCTGCCTGTGCAATTTGCTGATTTGCTGGCAGTGGGTGCAGGTTGTTGTGGAGGAGGTGGTTTGTAACCTTGGCCTGGCCTCTCGGAACCAAAGGATGCCCACGTGGGTGGTTTTGCCATCTCTTGGTGATAGAAGGAGAAGAAAAGATGAAAAATTCCTTCTCATTATTTACTTCACCATAGCCGTGCATGTTATAAATATGGAAACTTTAGATTAAATTTTCCTATTAAAAATGAAAAGTGAGAATTTCAAATCTTATCACCTCTTAGATAGAATTGATAAAACCTGCAAAACTGAATGTTTCTCTTTTAATCCACTGACACAATGTGCCCCTTGCATGGAAATGCATTGCTCCAGAATCCCATATTCCTGATTTGCTTGGTGCCATAGGCAGAGTAGGAAGAATGAGTCCTGCTGATAAGTACTGCTGGATTGTGCCAGATATCTGTCATAGATAAGTCAGAGCAATTGTTTGGATGTTGCTATAGGAATTCTCCTCCCCTGGTGCATTGCAACCAGCAGTTAGCGAGCTGCTCTGTCATGGAGACGAGTGAGAGGAGTTTCTGTGGGATCACACAAGTGTTGGGAAAGCAGTGGGATCGTGGGCCCCTGGGCACAGCCTGCAGTGGCAATGAGGTGCCAAACAGAAAGCAGGTGCCACAGCAGAGGTGCCAGCCAGGAGCCAGCAGTGCCTGCTCAGCTGTGCAGGTGCTGGCTGCTGCTCTCACAGGGTGAGATTGGCACAATCTGGGAGCTGATGGAGCCTGGGGCTCCCTGGGATTCACCACCTCCCTCCAGAGCTTCCCTCTGGATCCCAGCCTGTGGGAAGTGAGAGGAGCCTGGTGCTGTGATCAGGATGGATGGGTGGGTGTCACTGCCTGGATTTTGTGTGGGTGGGAGGCAGTGCTGGGCTCACCGTGCAGGACACTTGGGAAGTGTCCCCAGCTTTGTCTGGCTGCCTTGAGGTGCCCTGGCACACAGCAGGAGCCTCTCCTGGCAGCCAGGCCCTGGCACGGGCAGCACGTCCCCTCCTGTTATGAAATCACCTCATAAACTCTGCAAACTGCCCTGGAGCTGACTAAGAATCCTTATCTGTGCTCCCAGTGAAGCTCTCGCCGCTCCTGCGGCTCAGATGAAAGGTCTGGGCTTCCTCCTCTCTTATCAGGCACCTGTTGTTGTACCCAGACATTACTCACATCCTTGGAGTCACATCTTGGTTTGCATAATTAACACCAACTGCTTCGTTTCCTTCCTTCCCTTGCAGTTCTGTGCCCTTACCTGGCTGTGGAGCCTTCGGGGTTATTTTGGGTTTAACACAGGCAATGGAAATTCGGGAGCAGCAGCTCGGGGAAGATGAGAAGATTTTAGTCAGGTGGAAGGGATGATCTTCAGTCTTGAGCTGGTGCTGCAGCCTTGGTCTGTGGTGGGGAATTCTGTACCAATTCCTTAGGAGTGGCACAGAAAAACCTGAAGCAAACCTAAACAGGAGTTTGTGCAGCAAATTTGGACTCAAAAAATGGCAAATCACAGAATCCTGGAATGATTTGAGTGGGGAGGAACCTTAAATCCCATCTCATTCCATCCCTGCCATGGGACCTTCCACTGTCCCAGGCTGCTCCCAGCCCTGTCCAACCTGGCCTTGGATATATAAAGTATATAAGGGATTTTTTGAGGGCTTGGGTGTTGTACTTGTTTATTTTTTGCAATTATATCTGACTTACCTGGCAACTTTGATTTCACCTGAGTGCCCCATCTTTTGCCCTTGCTTTTTGGAGTTTTGCTGC